CGGGGCAAATACCATAATATTCTCACTAAAATTGATCTTCCCCCCTTAACCATACAGGCCAGTGACAACTCACCCATCGGCATCCACCACGTCAAAGGAAAAGTCACCCTTCCTGTAGTCCCTCAGCGGACCGGCACTTCTGTCGTAGGAGAGAGAGCTGTCGCCGTTGTTGACCGAGCAGTTTACTAAAAAACACAAGAAAGGGAAAGATATTATATACAGCATAAAATGGAGAGCTCGAATTCCTCGGGACCGGCCCTGGTAGTTCGAGGGATCCATAATTCGAGGGATATCTTACAAAGATAAAGAAGAGGGGGAAAAAAAACGAGCCGCAGGCACAGTTCGACGTATGCGTCATTTCGAGTTTTCTGTGTTCAACCTATCCGTGATATACTGTACTTTGAAAACCTATAAACGAATTTTTGTCTGTGGCGTCGTGGTGAAATCGGTGAGGCGCTTATCAAAATCGGAGCACCGGGAAACAGCGACTCTATTTTTTAAAACAGGGAAAAAATTCGTCAGCGGAACAGCGACTGCCCTAAGTGAATACCTCATCTTGGTGGCATTGATCATGGTATCGATGGAGCCCGCCGACAGTAAAATTTTGTTTATAAACCTTTTAAATGCTACGTTCCATCGGAAAAATAGTATCAAATTCGGAACTAGCCTATCAAAATTAACAAAACGATTTGATGCTGTATCTAAATTTTAGCAAACTTTGACTTTGAATGGTCAATTTTGAGTTTGAAGCCATGTATCGAGGTCACCCACTGCATTGTGCATCATACTAAAGTTCCAGAAATTGACACTCACAGTTAAGTTCTCAGTGCTCAAATGCTCTCAGAAATCTCCCCCATTATTATTCTTATGTTTCCACGTCACCCGTCTGTTCCGCTTTTTCAAATAAGTTTTTTTCCAGTCCACCCCTGCCTCGTTTGCCTTCTATTTTTCCAGTGAGAGCAAGATGTCCAAACACTTTCTGTTGAGTTGAGTGTCCCAGAAACCGTATTTGTCACTTCCTAATATACAGTACTCATTAGTGAGTGGACCACCTAACCTTCATTCATTTCTTCCTCGTCCGATTTCTTTTCTGTCTATGAAATTTCCAGAAGTTTCCTTTCTCATTTGATTTCTTTTCTGTCCATGAAATTCCCACAAATTTTCCTATCTCATATGATGTCATTGCAGTCCATGAAATTCTGAAAAGTTTTCAATCTCATTTGATTTCTTTGCTGTCCTGGAATTTCTCAGAGGTGTCCTATCTCATTTGATTTCTTTTCTGACCATGAAATTCTAAGAAGTTTCCAATTTGCTTTCTTTGCTCTCCATGAAATTCTCAAGTCTCCTGAGAAACCTCATTTCTGTTGCTCCTATTTTACTTCCATTATCTTTGGTATTTGTCCAGCATGCAAAGCCGTATAGAAGACTACACATAGCCTTTTAGAACCCTTATTTCAGTAGTCATTAAGATGTTTCTAATAAATGACTTATTTCCTTGGTCTTTCACATTTTCCTTTAATCATTCCTCCTGGGTTGTTGTTTTTTTCAGAATGTTCACATGACAGAAGACAGAGCAAAAAAAAACCCAGGAAAATTTTGGCAGAGCGATGGGGCACAAAAGAGTAACAGAGACGAAAGAAGTTCTGAGGAGAAAGGGAAAGTGGAAGGAAGAAGAAAGCCAGACAGACCACCCACATGACGAACATTACGACTATCACCAGGAAATTTAGAGGGCTAAGAGCCTTCAAGTTGGCGAGAAGCTAGCAAGACCAGGATGAGTAGAGAAAACGATTCCTAAAGGAGGTACTAAGGGGAGTAATACACGTTCAGTTAAAACTGACAATCGTCTGCCCTATTACACGTTCAATTAAAATTGAAAGTCGTCTGCCCTATTACTTGTTCTGTTAAAACTGACAGCTGTCTGCCCTGTTACATGTTCAGTTAAAACTGACAGCTGTCTGCCCTGTTACATGTTCAGTTAAAACTGACAGTGGTCCGTCCTCTTTGAGAAAACAAAATAAAACATGAAGCTATCGTGGTAAAAACAATACTTGTCTTTTTTGTGAGATCTTAAAAATCCAACAAGAAAAAGAGTCACTCGTGAGTCCATTTGTGAGGCAGCGTGGTGGAATCAGGCTCTCGTCAAAAATAATCAAAGTGAAGAAACCTGCATTTTTCCGCAGATTTGTGAATTTTTATCAAATTTTTGTTTTTTGGCTCAACACCTTTCATGCCCATTAAAGAACTCATTTCTGTGTGGATTTTTCTGAAAAACGTTGATTAAAGGCACACAAAAAATGTAAATTTTCAGTTACCACGGACTCTTAAGCTAAGGAAATAACTAATCTTTGGCGGCCATTTTCTCACTAATTTTACCTCTGAAAACAGGTGACCCCCACCTCCTTCATTCACAAATATCTAGACTTGTATTCAAGATAAATGGATACTTTTTTCATCCAAATAAAGACAGGCGAACAAGCTTTAAGATGATACCAATAACTCTACATGCCCAAAAATTGACGAGAGCCTGATTTCACCACGCTGCCTCACATTTGTTATTTTGATTAGCTGGATCCAAATTTGATATCATTTTTGCAATAGGGCACAATCTTCAATAAGTTCATAAACATAAATTTTTACCACCCATGAGGGGAAAATAGCTTTAAAAAGATCACAGATTCTATGCATTGCAGCACAAAATCTGCTTAACATGTAAAATTTGTCGGCCCCCGGAAAGTTCACGTTATCAAGATTTTACTGTATTTATGTATACATGAATGTATAAGAATATCAACCAAAAATCAAATTTCTCCACAGCTGATCAGGAGAAAGTGAAATCATACTTTTTTTACATTATTATTAAAACAAAAACAACTTTCTCTACAGTTGATCAGAGAAAATGAAACCATTCTTTATCTCATTATAACAAAAACCAAATTTCTCCGCATGGATCAGTGAAAGTGAAATCATTCTTTATCTTACTAAAACAAAAACAAATTTCTTCACAGTTGATCAGAGAAATAGAAATCATCCCTTATCTCATCAAAACAAAAAACAAATGTCTCTACGAGGATCAGTGAAAGTGAGATCATTCTTTATAATATATATATATACGTCCACCTGTCTAAGAGGGCCACACTGGTGTCTGGGGAGTAGCGTTTAGACACTTGGTCGTGGAGCGCAGGAGGAGACTCGAGTTCGATTCCAGAGTGAGGAGAACATTTTTTATTGAGAACCTCGGCCTCTCTGCTGGAATGTTGCATCCCTCTCAGCACGGGTTGACCCTGACAGGCAGGGTCGGACGCCTGCCTCTAAATGACCTAAATTGTGTCAGTGGGGGCATAAAAAACACCTGTATTAAAATTTAGGGCAGCCACTTTTCTCCTCGACAAAGCGCGGCCATCATCGGCAATTTCTACTGTACTTACCTGGATCAGCCATTCCGTGCTGGCTTGGACCCTGGCAAGAAAGAAAAAAAACAAAATCATGCAAACCGTTAGACCAGACCAGATTATCCCCGTAAAAGAAAAAAACAAAATCACGCAAACTGTTAGACCAGAACCGACTGCCGCCTATATTGCGACAGAGAGCTCAACCGAAACCTGGCGCTATAGTTCAGTGGCAAAACTAGGATTCTTTTTCTTCTGAGTCTGTTATTCTCTCCATCATGATGTGTCTTCACATCTTCGTGTGAACATTCCAAACCTGTGTCACATCTTCATGTGAACATTCAAAACCTGTGTCACATCTTCGTGTGAACATTCCAAACCTGTGTCACATCTTCTGTGAACATCCAAAACCTGTGTCACATCTTTACGTGAACATTCAAAACCTTTGTCACATCTTCTGCGAACACATTTTAATGCCTTTGGAGATTATAAATAATGCCTTGTAAAGTGCATTGAGCATTGTAAATTAAGGAAATGCGCAATATAAATATCATTTATTATTATTAATAATGTGGGTTTTTTTTTGGGGGGGGGGTTGTCTTTTTTTTTTATTATATAAAACTAGCATCACAACTTTATGTAAACATGTGTTACATCTTTATGTGAACAAATTAAAAACATGTGTAACATATACATGTAAATTTATATAATTATTATATATAAAACTCGTAACACAGTTTATCTTGCTTGCTAATGTTACGTTTTTACGCTAAAAGAGCACCAAGACATGGATGGTCGGTGCCTCTCTAAATAGACTATAAATCATCTACTAGTTATTCTGAGATTCAAAACATATTGCAAAGAAGACATATGTTTGGTCAAGAATTCACAACCATACACGTGAGTGACAAGACTAATGTATTTTTGTTTGCTTTTCAAAAACAGTGTTTAAATTTTGCTCACAAGCATGTTAAGTATGAAGTGAAAAATAAGTGCCTCTCATTAATTCTTTAAACCCTGAGTTTTTTTCTAAAGCCACCTAAACCTGGTGAACTTTGTCTCATTATAACCCCAAAAGCTTGCCTCTAACTTCTAAATGGTGGAAACAAAGGCATAGTCTTTACTAAAAAAAACTTGGTTCAGGAATAGTTCCGAAAAACAAGCAAAAGCTAGCATAATAAAACAAAACAGTTGTCAATAGTCCCAGCGTCCGATGAGGAACAGGGTAATTAAAGGGTTAAAAACACTAACCTGCAATCTGCATTGCTTGAGTCACACTCAAAATTTTCATGTATTTTTTAACCTATAGAATCACTCGACACTATAACAGATCTAAGTCTGAATTCTTCAAAGAAAATAAAATACAAGACACATTTCTTTTACACTTCAGTAATAACAGTATAACACGGATAGCTTGAATACGTCAGGACCGGCCCTCCTCAGTTCAATGGATATCTTACAAAGATTAAGAAGAAAAAAAAACGGGGCCGCAGGCACAGATTGGAGGATGCGTGATTTCGAGTCTTCTGTGTTCGAACTATCCGTGTTATACTGTATTTTACGCTCCGACAATTATATCCAAACAAGTGTTGATTACTTTTTAATATGCAGTCTAGCACGCACATAACGAACACGCACAAAACTGACAGATTTTCAGGCCCCAACTTTTTTCTTTGAATTTAAAACATGTAGACTGTGAAATTCAGACGTAACGGAAAGATTTCCGCTATGTGTGTGCTACACTGTACTTGTATTTTTTAGAAAAAAGCAAAACAAAACAAAGAGGTAGATTATCTGAAGCCCAAGCTGTGAGCCTGTATCACAAAGAAATGGGAGTTAACTGAAAAACTGGACAAACACAATTGATGTATAAAATCACTTTGTAAACTTTCTTGTGCTCGACCAAACTAAAAAATGCTACATTTCTTATTAAGCTGTACGGTTATAACTATTTCATTTCTAAAGTAGGTGTTATTACACCTTTATCAACACAATTTAAACCATTTAGGAGGCGGGCTCCCCATCCTGCCAGTCCAGGCCAACCCAAGCTGGGAGGGATACAACACCCCCAGTAGAAAGCCCAAACCACTAAATAAAAATGTCTCCCCGCCCCACTCAGAGGCAATCGAACTCAGATCTCCTATCATGTAGGACAACAAAGCGCCTAACAGCTACACTGCAGATGCCGGTGGTTTAACCTACGCCAACAATGCCAGTAGAATACAACTTTCGTAAAAATAATTATCCATTTCTGGGAGACTGAAAAATATATTGCACTGTTTCTCTGCTCCACATCAGAGCTTGGTCCTTTGTTTGCAGTTAAGTACAGAGGAGTCTCACTAAACCGAAATTTGCCTGTACCCCAGATTTTTTTCCTGTTTAGCCGGGTTTTTGCTTTAGAGGGGTTGCTCAAATATTAGAAAGAAAATCAGGGATTTTTATTTTCTGTCAGTTTACCACTGTTTTCCCATTAAAAAAACGTGTTTTGTTTCAGCGAACTCCACAGTATATATATATCCCTATCAAATAATGCAAAAAATTCACACGTGTTATTTCAAAACCACCCGTTCCACGACAGAATGCTTAAAGCACTGTTGTTAAGCAATGCACTGGCGTATCGGCTAAAAGATTTAAATGAAAGAAAAGATCTTTGCTTTGCATCTAAGTCACATTTCAAAATTTCCACTCAGAAAAACAAGGCTTCTCCAAAGACTTCAAGATAGCCCACCCTATGCATGAACTCGGACACTGGTGTAACTTAACAAATGAAAACCTAAAGCACACGCAATGGTGAACTACCAAAGACAATTTCTTGAACAAATATTTTTACACTACACACTGTATTAGATTACAGAAAAATAGGATCCCATTGCTTTATGGTACTCACTTTTTCTAAATCAGACAAAGGAAAACTAAGAAACAAGAACAAGACAGTGACTACTATACAACCCTGGAATCAGTATTGCCCATCTTAAGTCTGGTCCAGATAGTGAAATTGAAAGAACACAACAGTCACTGAGCTTCTAGAACAGGAACCTATGCATAAGACAGACAGCATACAACAAATATTATATATATAGGGACACTCTATACAAGCACATGACCACAGATATATGCCTAAGCCAATAGCTGAGGCCTACACTACTCCTCGTTGGAAGACTTGACTACACTCTTCGGCACGGCCAATGAAATTAGGTCTAACAAATTGTATTCCCCAGAAGACCACTTTAGATCTTTTCAAAGAAGCCATGAATACGTGTAATAAAAAGTGGACACACACATACCCACACACACACACACACACACACACACACACACACACACACACACACACACACACACACACACACACATGTCCACACACATTGTCAAGTGTAACATGATTACACCAGGCATGCAGGAGCAGGTTAAAACCAGTTCAGCCTACTGCCACTTTTGTCCCATTAATAGCACATGAGGAAAGCTTTATGCAAAGCCTTGCCCCTTTACATTCAGTTCACTGTACTGTATACATATTGCATATTTGTACACTCTGTCTTTCCTGCACTCTCTCATATATATCCAGCTATATTTCAACAGCCTATGTACTATGCTCTTATTCTTATTTTATGTCCACTACCATAAATCTGTGTACAGTAAAACCTGCTCTAACAGCCAAGATAATCATTTGTACAAGCAGCCATTTCCCAATCCCAACCAGCCCCCCCCCCTCCCCCTTGTCTTTTTTTTACATTGTACAGACACTGTATAGGTCAGCTACCTAAGACTAAGACTTCCACTTTTCTCCTCGACAATGGGTGGCCATCTGAGTCAATTTCAATTGTACTTTTATACCAATGTGGGTACAACATGTATAGACCAAGAGAACGTCACTCAAGGAAAATTCATCTTCTGCGCATCTATTCCAGCTGTTCCTTTCTTTTCTAAATTTTAAAAAAAATTTTGATAAGTGTTTTACCGCACTCACAACTGCATAAGGTCATATGAGCACGCGGGACACACTAAACATTTCCAGTTGGTAGGAAATTTTGAATTTAGCCCAGGAGGCGGCCGAAACCTACTCTTATCAATTTTGAACCACCGAGGGATCTTTAACATGCGCAACTTACACACGAGGCCTCCGAGATTTTTCATCCATATGTTTTAGATTTTACCTCCCATAAGATCAGGGGTGTGGCTGAAAGACAGCAGTAAGAAGGAGCCAAGGAGTAGCAGTAGAAAGGCTGCAGAAAGAGTCAGGAGCCCAGTGGAGGGGGCAAAGGAGATGAAGGAGTGAGCGCAGAAAGTAGAGACGAAAGCAGACGACATAACATTGTTAGACAGCACGAAAGAAGGAAATTTTAGAGAAGAAAATTTTCCGTCGCCATCCGGATTCAAACTCGGGACTTATTGAATGAGAGTCAAACACCTTAACCTCTAGGCCACAAGAGCCCCCGCTATTCCTTTGTCCCTCTCCTGTACAACAAGGAACTAGGGGAAAGTATTTGTTTTTTTCTTTCACCACCACACTACACAGATGCGCTGCTTTTGGGGGAGGGGGGGTGGAGGGGGGAGGGGGGTGGTGGAGGGGGGAAGGGGGGTGGTGGAGGGGGAGGGGGGTGGTAGAGGGGGGTGGTGGAGGGGGGTGGTGGAGGGGGGGAGTGGGGGGGGGGAGGTTGTATTTTTTTGTTGCAGACCACACATACAGTCATTAAACTGCCACAAATCAACTATTTTCAAGAAACTTTCAAATCTAATCGCAAAACAACAAATTATGGGTAAAAAAAACAGCAGGGCATGCCCTCTTTTAAAAACCCCTTGATATTTTTCACCTCAGGAGGGCATGCTCCCCTGACACTAACCCCCCGCGCCATTGGCCCAAAGCGGAAAATTATTACACAATTAGGCTTAGCAAAATGACAAGTACAGTTCGAATAAAAAAACCTTTGCCCAATGTCGTGAAAAATTAAAAATTGGTGACTAAAGATTGAGGAACTTATAACAGAGACCCAAATTGTCACGTAACAAGATTGGTGGCCCCTTGATAATGCTTATGGCAAGTGGGGGACGTTCTCTAGACGTTTGTCACAATGTGTCTACTTCTGTGCATGTGTCTAGTGTACGACAACCATCTGTGCCTTTTTTTATTTGAGTAGGTGTCTTTACACCCCCATCGACACAATTTAGATGATCATTTAAGAGGCGGGCTTCAGACCCTGCTTGTCAGGACCAAACTGAGCAGAGAAGGACACAACATCCCAGCAGATAAACCAAGACACTAAAAAATCTCCCCATTCGGAAATTGAACTCTTGTCTTTTGTGAGAGACAGCGAAGCACCTAACCACTACACCACAGATGCCAGTGTCTTTTTCCTTGTCCTTATAGCTATAAAGTGTTCACTGTCTACATATTTCTCCTAGTGTGTCCTATTAACTGTAAATAGTAATAAAATTGTAGGTTTTACAGCCCCATCTACACATCTCAGCTCATTCCGGAAGCTGGCTGCTTCTACCCTCCCTTTTTCTTGGTCAGGGCCAACCCAGACTGAGTGGGGAAACAACATCCCAGCAGACAGACGGAGACATTTCATAAAAGGGCCTCCACGCATGAGAAACGTGCTCACTTCTGTGTGCGACAGCGCAAAGCCTAACTGCTACACAACAGATGCAGGTACTAATGTGTCAACAGTATGCCAACTTCCCACCATGTTCGCTGCCTATAAACACTAACTGATATAATATGTATCATAAGTACTAAAAATTATCTGTTGACTACAAAAATAAATTTATACATAATTATAATAATACGAAGGCTTCAGTACAATATTTTAATATTATGCTGCACTATTAAACTTGATAAAGATTTGGCTGGCAACAGTATTGTACCAATGCATCTATCATTATCTGCTATCATAAATTCCTCTTCGGTTTTAACAGTTGTACCTAAATTAAGTCATTTTTCTTGCTTTTTTGGACATATTTAGACTTTAAATTTCAACAAAATATTTCTTCAAAATATACACCACTGACTAAGAAACTGCATTTTTTTTTTAAATTTCAAAATTTTGGGCTTAAGACATTTTTAACAGCTGGCTGACAATATGTCATACCATGTACTAATTTGTCCACCCATGACATTACAGACTTCCAGATGTCAGATGATGACTAACTGCATGATGTACCTCGACCCACAGCACCACTGAAAAGAATTTGACAGGACCATGGATATGACAACAACGGTAGCATTCAGATGACGGATGATGATTTTGCTTCTCTCGACCATGGATGATGAACGGGATCTCATAAAAACCATTTTTATACAATTTTAAGATATTTTTGTTAGTTGTCTAAATAAATTTCCTGGTGTCTTTTTTTTTAACCTGTGCAAGCTGTTCCATTTTGCCTCATCATTGATGACTTTCACTTACTTCTGAACTGCTCCCTCTCTAGTAAGCTACAGTATTGCGATGTCAAGGGACATGACTCTTGATTTACTGTGGGGACAAGATTAGATCTAGATTTATATTATAATATATAGCCTCATGGAGCTGAAACTGACCACTCCCCTGGATTAGATTTCTAGTCTAGATCTAGAATCTAGATTCTATCTAGATCTAGAATCTAGATCTAATCTAGATCTAGATCTAGATCTAGAATCTAGGGCGCTTTTTCGGTAGTTCCCACCCCGCATTTGTTATTCGCCGGTTTTGGCCCCAAGAGTAGGGGGGTTTCAGGGGGGCTT